AATTGGCACAACTCAATTTTTTTTTTCAATAATCAATCTTAAGTTCCTATAGACTTAGACAACACAAGGGTGCTAAATCAGTTGATTGACCCTCTCAACTTTTTGCAAACCTCGATGTAGCATGATCAGAACTGTGAACCAAACTTGTTTAGTGCCAATCCAACTTAGGAAGATCGTGATCCTCCCACTAATGGTCTTATGGCCATGACCGAATAATTTCTCTGCCTCATGGTTTGTATCTTCTTTATGGATTTAAAGACCTTTGTATGGAATGCCCAAGGGCTGTGAGCATATAAATTTCTTACGTGTTATCAAGCAATATATTCGTGACTATCATCCGAATATTTTTAGTTTTCTTAAACCACAGATTAGTGGGGGCAAAGCTGAAAATGTTATTGCTGCCATTGGTATTCCAAATTCTCATAGAGTTTAAGCTGTCAATTTCTCCAGTGGTATTTGGTTTTGTTGGCTTGATCATATCCATATTGCTATTCTCCCTTGTCACTTTCAGTTCATTCATTGTAGAATTTTTTATACCCATTATCATGATGCCTTTTTAGCCATCGTTGTGTATGCAAGTCCGAATTGCAGGCTGTGTACACTTTTATGGCCATTGTTGAAAACTATAACTTCGTCAATCTTTGAGCCTTGGATTGTCCTCGACGATTTTAATACTACTCTCTCTTATGATGAGCGCAAAGGTGGTTCCAAGTCTTTGCCTGAATAATTTTCACAATATGGTCTTTGATTCCGAACTTCTCGACCACGATTATCAAGGACCTGATTTTATTTGGTATCGTGAGAGCTGCTCAGTTCACCTTAACATGTGTTTTGAGAATGTTCTGTGGCTCGAAACTGATCCGGAGTCTACTTTACAATATCTTATATGGATGAAATCTGATCATAGGTCTATCTTACTGTCAACTACTGGTATGTCTCATCTCCTCAAGCCCAAATCCTTTCGTTACCTCTAGGCATCGTCTCTCCTCAAAGATTTCGACCGCATGATCCAAGAAAGCTATTGGTAACTTTTCAACTGTCGCGGTGGCTTCTTGGAACATGGATATTTTTAACGTGATTGGTAAAATCAAAAAACTCTTAATGGCTAGATTTCACGGGTTCAACGTTGTTTATACCAAAGGTGAACTTGAAGCATGATAAAACTGGAGTACAAGTTGTTGCAGAATATTGAATCCGTTCTTGATCAGGAAGAACTGTTCTGAAAAAAAATCGATAATGGATTGGATAAACTTTAATGATAGAAACAAGAGGTTTATCCACTCTTAAGGAAGTCTGCAAACGGAGCCAAAATACCATTTACATGTTAAAGATTGATGTAGATGAATGGTGCGATGATGCTACTACTTTACGCGATAATGCCTCGAGTTATTTTGAAAGGCTATTTGTCGATGATTCTGCTCTCAGGCCCGGCCCTGAGGGTAGGCGAGAGGGGCGACCACTTAGGGTTCACGTTTAGAGGAGACCCATTCTTAAAATATTTTTAAGTTTAATAATTAAAAAAATCAATTTTTTAGACTAAAACGCAAATTTCAAATTTTTTGAGAGACCTAAGTTTAATATAACACCATTTTTTTATTAAACACTACTAAAACTATCTGATATTACTAAATCTACCAGATGTGGGGTCCCACTTGTCTTTATAATATAATACCGTTGGTTTATGTAATGTGGGTTTGGTAATATGTATGCATATTATATTATAAATACTTGGTCCCTTAAAAAAATACTCTTTTTATAATATAATACCGTTTTTATCCCTAAAATCATGCATATTATAAATACTTGCCCCCACTTGTCTTTATAATATAATACCGTTGGTTTATGCAATGTGGGTTTAGTAATATGCATGCATATTATAAAAAAATGTGTGTCTAAATATACCAATAAATCTATTAAACATACCATTTTTTTTTATTTTTTTAATAAAGTTTTCTTTCTTTAATAGTTAGTGGGTTTTTATTTAATGGGTATCGGATTTTTAGTGGATGATTATTTAATAGGTAATGAGTTTTTAGGTTAGATAATAATTAATAAAGAAATATTAATATTAATAATAAAAATACTAATAATAATATTTAAAATATTTTTTTCGACCCGGACAAAAACGAGTGTCTACAATTGCCTCTCTTTGCACATTCTTGTGTTAACAAGGATAAGACAAAGAAGAAAAAGACAACCAATTTTTGTCCGATAAATGAAACATGTGACATAAACAAACATTCTTGTGTTAATAAGGATATGACAAAGACGAAAAAGACAAACAGTTTTTGTCCGATAAATGAACATGTGACATAAACAAAAATATATCTGATAAAAAAAATATATCCGATAAATTTTACTTTTTAATAAATAAATTAGAATGAAAGTTATTTCGATAATTAATGTTTTTGAATAAATTAGGTAAATAAAAGGGAATTAGTGTTGGGGTAGTATTGAAGAAGATGACAAGAAGATAAGTATGTCATGATTCCCTTCCCAATCAATTCCCCACACTTGGTATGTTTAGGCCATCTCCAGTCTTAATCCCTACTCTAGCGTATCTCTATCTCTACTCTAGACATGAAACAATAATTCATCTCCAGCGCTATCTCTACATTACCATTAATTCTACTTTATTCACAATATTTAACTATTATAATATTAATTTTACAAATATAAAAAAATCAGAAAAAATTCAAAAAATTTGAAAAATTACAAAAAAAAATGATTATTTATCTAATTTAAATATATTTTTATCTATCTTATAATTTAATATATTTTAACTAAAAAAACAAAATCTAGCGCGAGTTACAGTACCGCGCTAGATGTGGCGCGGTACTGTAGCAAATCTGTACAGTGGCGATGGAACTGGCGCAGGGTTGGAGCACGCTACAGTAGAAATATCTTCACTGTAGCACAGCGTTGGAGATGTCCTTAGTAATATGCGGTAGCTTTAGTAGTGCCCATTATAAATACTTGAGCAGATATCCATGCTCCACTATACACTGGGGGCTTAAATTATTTTTTTAGGGGTCCTTATCTTTTATTTTGCCTAGGGCCCCTAAAATGTCAGGACCGGCCCTGTTGCTCTGCATGGGAAATACCATCTCTTTGATCTTTTCCCTACTTTGCCTGACCATGAGCTCTATTCTTTGCACTCTTCTATTTCAGATGAAGAGATTAAAGATGCTCTTTACTCCATGGCCCCACTCAAAGCCCCAAGATTCGAAGATATACATGCACAATTATATAAAAAAATGGAGTATTGTTGGGACTTCGGTTTACTCCATAGTTTGTTTGATTTTTATTTGATTTTTAAAGGGAAAATTTGGTTCCCACGTTTAATAGAACGTCTATTAACTTAATTTCAAAAGCCAATCATCCAAAAACTTTTACAGATTTTTATCCAATTAGTGTTTGCTTCGTCCTCTACAAGCTAATTACCAAGACCATTGTTCGTCAACTACATGTTATTCTAAAATTTATTGGAGCTCACCAAACTAGTTTTTTGAAAAGTCGAAGTATCTTTGAGAATTCGATCATTAATCAAGAAATTTTGCACTCTATACATGCTAAAGAGGATGTCACAAGTTGGATATCGATTAAGGTCAACCTCCAAAATGTCTTTAACCGTTTAAGATGTGATTTCATCGAAGATACTTTAATTGATGTTGGTTTACCAAATGATCTTATCCAATTGATCTTACACTGCATCAATACCTCTTGTATGCAAGTTCAATAGAATGATGAACTCAGTCGGGAATTCAAGACGCGTAGAGGTATTTGACATGATGATCCCTTATCGTCTCACCTCTTTAATTTAACGATGGAGAGATTAAGTCAATCCATTTGACTCTCTGTTTCTCCTGCTAACCTTTAAACTTGTTAGATATGGCTTAACTATCTCACATTTATTCTTCATCGATGACATGATGCTATGTGCAAAAGATGATATGATAAATTCCATAAATACCGATTCAATTATATCCTCTTTTGGTCAGTATTCAGCTCACATTGTTAACAAGGGAAAACGAAGATTTTTTTCTCCCTTAACGGTTATTGTAAGTTTTAGAGAATACATAAAACTTTCTCTAATATTTTATTTTAATTTCACTTAATTACAAATGAAGGGATATCCCTAACTTATAGAACTCTTAGAGAACAATCCTAACTAAAGCTCTGCAAAACAGATTTGAGATAAGACCAACATATTAAATTTGAATTTCAAACTAACTATTAGTTAGGGATCTATAATATGCATTCCTCCTCAAGCTGATGAGTATACATTGTAGAGTCTCAACTTGGATGTGAGCTCATCAAAGGTGATTCTTGGAAGCATCTTAGTGAGTACATCAACTAGTTGTTGACAAATAGAAACATACTTGAGTTTAACTTTCCCATTAATAACCTTCTTAGAAATGAAATGACTATTTATCTCCACATGTTTTGTCCTATCACGATGAATCGGATTTTTGGTGATACTAATTGTTGATTGATTATCATAATTGAGTTCAGAATCGATGTATGATTCAATTTCAACTCTTCCAACAACCTTTGTATCCAAATTTCTTCACAAATCCCTTGAGCCAAGGTTTAAAGCTCAGCCTCTACACTGCTCCTTGAAACCACATTTTATATTTTACTCTTCCATGTCACTAACTTGCCCCAAACCCAAGCACAATACTCGCTCGTAGACCTCTTGGATGTAGGTTCACTAGCCTAGCTTGCGTCCATGAATACCTCTATTTTTGTGCTTGAATTGTTTGCAAAAAACATTCCACGACAAGGTGTCTTTTTTAAGTACGGTATTATTCTAATTATCACCCTAGATGTTCCTCAAGATCACTCATAAATTGGCTTGCAATACTAATCGAGAATGCAATTTATGGCCTTATAAGAGATAGATAAATGAGCTTACCTACCAATCATTGATAGTATCCATTGTCAACCGAAGGTCCACCACCATCAATTCTAAACTTTAAGTTGTAGTCAATATGTGTTTAAGCAGGCTTGCAACCCATGATACCAATTTTGGATAACAAATCTAAAACATACTTCCTTTGATTAATCAAAAAGCCACTACTTGTTCTTGACACTTCCATACTAAGGAAATATCTTAAGGAACCAAGGTCCTTAGTTTCAAACTCTTTTGCTAAGAAATCCTTCAACCTGAAAATTTCAAGAGAATCATAACCAGTGATGATTATATCATCAACATGGACTATTATAATAGCCTTTTTATTTTTTGAATTTATTTTAACAAACAAAGTATGGTCAGCTCGGCACTAAAGATATTCAAATTTTAGAATGGCTTTGGTAAACCTCTCGAACCAAGCACATGGTGACTGTTTAAGGCCATATAAAGATATGATAAGTTTGCAAACCTGTTATGAATTAGAATTCAAACATAAACCAAGTGGTTTCTGCATATACACTTCCTCCTCCAAAGTTCCATTGAGAAAATCATTTTTTAACATTAAGCTGATGAAGTGGCCAATCTCAATTGGTAGTAAGAGACAACAAGATGCGGACAATGTTGAGTTTTGCAACTAGAGAAAATGTTTCTTGATAATCAATCATGTATGACTGAATGAACCCTCTCGCCATCATTCTCGTTTTGAATCGTTCAACACTTCCATCATTATCATATTTAACCGTGAATAGCCACTTGCAAATTATAGTCATTTTCCCTGAGGTAAATCAGTCATAATCCAAGTCTTGTTTGCCTCCAACGCCTTAATCTTCTCTTCAATAATATTTTTCCACCTAGGATCCTTTAAGGCATTATCAATAGATTTAGGGATGGATAAAGTATCAACCTTGGAAGTAAAGGCCTTGAATGTCATCATAAGCCGCCCATAAGCCATATATTTTTGTATTAGATGGTGAGTGCAATTCCTGAAACCTTTCCTTTGAGCAATAGGTAAGTCGGAAGTATCAATTAAAGGAGTAGTAATTTCATCATTCAAAGATCCCATATCTTCATCACCATTCAAGGAAAGTGGAACAAGATTAAGGTCTTGAGTAGTCTTAGGTTGTATGGTATCTCATGAAATGAGCCTTCTTTTCTTATTCGTACAAACACCTAGTTCCCTTATTTCAGACTAAGTTGTTGAAGGAACAAATTTGGTTGTAGAAGAAGGTACAAGTGTTGGTTGTTATAAAGATGGCAGTGTGTAACACCTACGACCCATATACTTATACTACTACATATTATACATGTCATATGAGTTACTTAAAACATTTTCCAACTCAAAAAGTGATTAAAATTAATTTGTTTTCAAAATGTAGTTATTAATATAAAATTTTAAATCACATAAAAAATATTACATGATTTTTAAAATATATTAACATAAAATACATCCATTATAGTAATAATAATATTGATTAATACAATCCATAGTAAAATAGTTTTGTTTAGCCATTACAAACCAGTTCCAAAATAGTTCAATAGAGCAACTAGGACATTCATAAATACATGCCACTAACTAAGTCAAAATCACATCAAAGGATGTCTTACTGATATTTTAATATACTCCTCGATGCTTGGTGTTGCTCAATACTCCTTACTTTTACTCATGTCCTTTACCTACACGTGAAAATCATCACATGCTAAGTATATACTTAGTGAGACAATTAAAATAATAAACAGTGCAATAGAACTCAAGCATGAAATTAAATGTCATTTTCCCAATGCACTAAGATCATCTTATATGCATGTTCAATAATTCACCATAATCAACATAACAATGATATAAGTATAATCATTTACCAATAACTATAGCTTAAATCATTAATCCACGAGGAACTCGATATAGGAATCAAATATTTCACAATAGTGTTGGGGTCGAGCCATGCTCACCTATTAAAGCGTCGTAGTGGTGAGGTCAGGCCTTGCCCACCTAACTTGTACTATGTGTCATCACTAGACACTCTAGTACTAGTTAATTTTGCAGCTGCTAGACTTTATGGCATGCTATTAATACCACTGAACCTCAATAACATACATGGGTATCTAGTCATGAATTAAGTTATCCATGGCAACGTTTATTGATATGGTTTTAGCGATAGGCAGTTCATACCCGAATTATCATCTATGGCATATCATTACAATAAAAGTAACCAATGCATTATATTTTCAATCTTGACATTTTTAGGATATGTCAATAATATGATGAATGACATAAATTTCATGCTAATAAAAAAATTAATAAGGTAGACTCATCGCAAGTCTTTCCACTGATGTATAAAACATCCATGTATAATATCATGCATGCATTGCACTTGCCTTGATACTTTATAAATATATAGCAAAATATTAGTATTGTACTAACATAAATACATTTCCAAAATAGGTACTTTAGACTTTTATGATTGGTATAGATGTAGCACTGCTCACCGTACAAATAATGGCACCAAATCCTTAGAGCAAGTACCACTGCTTCCAACTCAAGATCATGTGTGGGATAATTTTTCTCGTGTGGCTTTAGCTGTAGGGAAACATAAGCTACAACCTTACCTTTTTGAATAAGTACACAACCTAAACCATTATGAGATGCATCGCTATATACCATATATTCTTTACCAGATTTTGATTGTACCAGCATTGGTGCTTCCGTTAAAATCTTCTTTAGAGTTTTAAAACTCTCTTGGAACTTCTTAGTATGGTACTCTTGGCATTGTTGCAGTAGGACCTCCATCATCTCCTTCAGAGTACTATTGGTGCTTCCCAATCTTCCTCCTCCATTGATGTCGGCTTTTAGGTCGCGAAGCCTTCAGAATCCCTTGATGCGCCAACAAATCCTTCACTCTTGTTTGCCATAATCCGAAGTTACACTGACCATCGAATTTCACAACTTTGAATTTGGCTCCTGACATCTGATACCAATTTTTGAACAATCGGGTAAAGAAAATGAAAAGAACACAAGAATTTTAACGAGGTTCAACAATGTGCTTACATCCTCGGTGCCCTAGGCGGCGCTAGATTTTTCATTCAATTATATCTCATACGTTTTGGTTACATCTCCTTTATAATAAGTAAACTCTGGTACATATTTACAAAAATAACCCTGTACCGTATATTTATGAGCTATACCTAACAGAGGATTCAATTCCATGTAAAATTTGGATCGTTGGATTAAAGTGGCAAGATTGTAATTTTTGGAAAATTACATGCACAAAACGGTAATGTGGGAAATAATTTGTTCATCTTTGACTTTTGGAAGATGATAAGGTTGAGGTTTCTTGGTTTTATGGTAAATATGATGTTTCATTAAGGGTAAATTGGTCTTTTCTCAACTAAATGAATAAAATATTCACTTAAGCTTAAATTAAAGGTAAATTAACATGAAATTAATCTAAAATTTCATGTTATCTTGTTCATCCTTTTCTCCTTCAATCCGTGAGCTCCTCCATAGGCGAGAGAAAGTTTTTTTTTTTCAATTTTTGAATAATTTCCTTTGGATTTTGAGTTATGTCGTGAAATACAAAATTACTGTACGCGAAAAAAACTATCTTTTGGTACCATTTATGCTAGCTAATATTTCTTGATTTCAAAGATCCCAAATTCTAGGGTTTGTGTTAATATTAGGGTTTATGGATTTGATGATGAATCTTGATATTTTTGAGGTTGTAGATTTATTTTCAAGATTGTTTGATGATTAAAACATGTTCAATCTTCCTATAAATGTTTCTTATATATTCGACCAAACTATAAGTTGGGGAAACTTTGTGTTTTGATGAAATTTGATTATGGCTTTGATTATAGAGATGTTGTAAGGTTGGATGGAAGTTTATTTCATGCTTGAATCAAATCAAAATCGACAAAATCATGAAAAACATAGTCTAGGAGCTTTGGAACATTCGACCATGACTTATATGGATGAGAAAAAATTATGGAAAAATTATGTAAGGGATGGAAATGATGTAGGAAGTATTATACAAGCCTTAGAAAAATTTGGAGACCATTTGGTAATTTTTAAAAAGTTGTGAGACCAAATCGTCAATTTTGAAAGAAAAAAATATGGGTTGTTGTGTAATTGACCTATTGTTGATGTACTATATTGGAAATTGATATTTGGGAATTGAAATGAGTGTTAGGATAGGAAATTAGATCATTTTGGAAGTTTGGAAAGTTGGTGATTTAAATGTAATATTCGAATAGTTTGGGGTGTTTATTTGTAATTATACCTTCGTAAATGTACTTGGTTGGTAATAATTTCAATGCTGGAATTTTTAGTATTTAAGTTTAAGTAGTAAAATGGTGAATAACCATTTTATATATTTGGAAAAGTTGGTGTCAATACTAGAAGAATTATTAAGTGTTGAAGTATTTTGATTGTGAATAAGTTTCAAGTATGATTATGGATTTTGTTTTGAAAATGTATTTATGTTAGTACAATACTAACATATGTATCGATATAATTTGTGATTTTGTACAGATGGTGAATGATTTTGTGTTCGAAGCTAAACGTTTATAAAAATAAACAAATTGGAAGCTTAGTGGGGCTAATATTTCGCTATATATTTATAAAGTGTCAAGGTGAGTGCAATGCATGCATGATATTATACATGGATATTTTATACATCAGTGGAAAGACTTGCGATGAGTCTACCTTATTAATTTTTTATTACCGTGAAATTTATGTCATTCATCATATTATTGACATATCCTAAAACTGTCAAGATTGAAACTATAATGCATTGATTACTCTTATTGTAATGATATGTCAAGGATGATAATTTGGGTATGAATTACCCATCGCTAAAACCATATCAATATATGTTACCATGGACGACTTAATTCATAACTAGATGCCCAAGTATGTTATTGAGGTTCAGTGGTATTAATGGTGTGCTATAGAGTCTAGCAGATGTAAAATTAAGTAGTACTAAAGTGTCTAGTGAAGACACATAGTACATGTTAGGTGGGCAAGGCCCAACCTCAGCACTACGGTGCATTAATAAGTGAGAAAGGTTCGACCTCAACACTATTGTGTAATACTTGACTCCTATATCGGGTTCCTCATGGATTAATAATTTGGGCTATAATTATTGATAAATGATTATACTTATATCATTGTCATGTTGATTATGGTGAATTATTAAACATGCATGTAAGATGATCTTAGTGCATTGGAAAAATGACATTTAATTTCATGCTTGAGTTGTATTGCACTGTTTATTATTTTAATTGCCTCACTAAGTATATACTTAGCGGGTGATGATTTTCACGCGAACGTAAAGAACAAAAGTAGGAGTAAGGAGTACTTAGTAACACCAAGCATCAAGGAGTATATTACAATATCAGTAAGACATTCTTTGATTTGATTTTGAGTTAGCTAGTGGCATGTACGTATGAATGTCCTAATTGCTCTGTTGAACTATTTTGGAACTGGTTTGTAATGGCTAAACAAAATTATTTTACTTTATTTTACTATGGATGATATTAATCAATATTATTATTATAAGGGATGTATTTTATGTTAATATATATTTTAAAAATCATGTTATAGATTTATGTGATTTAATATTTTATATTAATAACTACATTTTGAAGAAAAAATTTTGATCACTTTTGGAGTTGGAAAATGTTTTTCAGTAACTCATGTGACATCTAGAATATGTATTAATTTAAGTATATAGGTCGTAGGTGTTACATTTATTGGTATCAGAGCCAAGTTTAGCGGTTTCTAGACATGGAATGAGTTTATATTAAGTTCAAAATGTTTACATGCAACTAGGATGTCAAAATATTACTGATAGTTGTATATATGTTGTGATGCTTATTATTTAGTAAAGTTACTCCTTACTATTAATAGATGATTTTAACTGTGTTCAGATGTCGGATCATTAGGAATCTGGTAGGGCACTTGAGCGTGTTACTCCTGCACAAAGTGGGAGTAATGAGGTGAACCAAAATCATCGTCCTGTTGAGCCTAATGTAAAGATGCCTAATCTGAATCAGTAAGATATGCCT